AGCGTGCCACTGCACTCCAGTCTGGGCGACAGAGTGAGACTCCAACTCAAATAAATAAATAAATAAAAAGAAAATGCTACTGCAATGCTGCATCTGCATTTATGAAAGAAAATGCACATCTTTCATGTAAGGCCATATAGGAAGAGAGAGTTTCTGACAGACAATGTACCACTAGAAAGGGAGAAGGGAAAAAACATAGCTCACACAACTTTTTTGAGTTCAGGAACTGCTTTTCATTTTTTTATTAAAATGTTATTCTTCAAAGAATATAGAAATACACTTGGCAAGGACCTGTCAGAAGTCAATCATCTGCTTCAAACAAACATAAGAAATATACCCATCAGAGTTTATTAAGTTGTACATATACAGCATAATAGCAGAACACCACCACAGCAGCTACATTGACAGATTCTTCTAAAGTGGACACAGTTTTCTGACAGATTATTTTTCTCCTCGATAAACATTGTCAGGATCGTGAAGGTTTTGAAAGATAAGCGGTGAAAGGCCACAACGTTAGCTATCAGGGTGAGGAGCTACAGGTGGCATGCACGCAGGGCCCAGGAGGCAGGGGAGCCATAGGAGGGTATGGCAGAACCCTGTTTCTGCGGTGAGGGGACAAGCACAAAGCATAAGGCGTTCCCTCTCCAGGAGCAGGGTCTCTGGGTCACATTCAGGAATCGCAAGAACCTCATACCCAAGGGAAGGAGGGAAAAGGCAACGCCCCACACATAGGGTGATCTCCCTCTGAGGGACAAGGAGCCAGTGTGGTTGAAGGACAGGATGTGTCAGGGCCACTGCCTTCAAGATGTGGGAATTTGCCAGTGACGATACCCACTTCCCTTCAAGCTCACTCAAGGCACAGGGCTTCCTCTCCTCACCCTCCTGCTTCTGTCAAATACCATTAGCAGGAATGAAACACTCTAGAGTGAAGAGCAGAGCTGGTCCTTGGTTTGTCTTCACTAAGAGTGAACTGTCATCTGTGGTTCAAATTTAGCCTGATGAAATCCACCCCAGAGGGGACCAAAATTACTTGTGAGACTCATCAGTTGAGGACACCACCCTGCCACGTCTACCCACGCTGGCTTCTACTAAAACATCACTGAGGAGGAGAAAATGAAGAACTCACCTGGGCTAGGTGATACCTTGGTGTCTTACAAGGATTAATAACTTTCCCTATTCTGTTCCTATTCTGTGTTCAAAACGAAGGCAAAAGCACAGTTACACAAACAGACTGAACATGAGACTGGCCACGCCTGAGTTCTGGAGTCCTCATCAGAATGCAACCATCTTTATCAGACTCTTGTCATTCTTTGGGGCAGAATTGCCTTTCTACATCAAGTATTTTTTTAGCTTGATGTTTCCAGAAGACCCAGCTTAGACCAACTCTGCATTTGAAAATTACCCTTAAATCCCAAAAGTTACACAAGACGATGTTTTCCATAGATTTGACTCACTGAGTGTTCCATAGCACCTTTCATGTGAGATCACAGGGAAGAGAGAAGACTATGGTGCCATGGACATCTCTCAGTTCTTCTTCCCCTGTAAGCGTCTCTCTCATGTGTCGAGAAAGCACAATTGAAGGAGAAAGACATTATGGAGAATCTACAGTGCTTTCCAACCAACACTGACCATGGCTAGAGGTTGCAGGTGTATCTTTCTGAGGCCTTGGTGATGCCAAGAGAATGCCAGGAGAATCAAGGACAATATCTGCCTTCCCTGTGGGCACATCTACTGCCATGCCTATCTGATAGAGGTGAAACAGTCATCCCTCACCTACACCTCAATGACAGGGATGAAGGATACTGGGAGAAACCATGAGTCATTGGGTTGGGGCTTCCAGGAAAATGGTGTCAGATGCCAAGTCCCTTTCTTCTCAACATCAAAGTTCTTCCTATCGGTCCTATTTAAGTTAGTCAAATTGGCATTTTCTCTGTGTTCACACTCTGTTCTGTAACTATCTCGGAATCTAGAGTGCCCCTGCTCCCTTTGAGCCCTGGAAGTTCTCTCTGTGTGTTCTTCTCTGCTGAGCCCAGGGGAGGGAGGAGTCCACTTGAAACGCACAAGGAGTACCCACCCCAAGACCCATTCAAAATTGTCCAGCTTTTGTCCCCAGAGAGAATAAATGAACTTTACTAAGGACATGAATCACTGAGATATACGCTCCCCAATAAAGAGGATGCTTGATTTTATGTAGCTTTACCTATCATCTAAAAGCACTTGGCCCATACAGGAGGAACCAGCTCACACTGAGTTGCTACGAGATCATACAACTCACATGGCCACAGTGAAGGGAGGGGGGAATGTGGAAGCTCACTGCTGCTTCTGGGGATGTACAGTCCTTGCTAGGAATCCACCTTTGGAAAAATGCTCACTTTATTGTTTCTGCTCATCTTCCGCTCTACCCTGCCTACCTTGGGCATCTTTGTCTGGATCAGCTCTTCCGGGGTGTTGCCCAAGGGGGGGAGTAGCCGCTTCTTGCTGTTTCGGGTCTCTGAGAGCCACTGAGGAGGCAACTCAAAAGGCCCAAAGCCAAACTGCAGGGAATATTTATCAGGGAATGTCTCAGGTTCCACAGGGGCAACTGGTGCCACCTGGGATATAAAGTCCACTGTGCCCGGGGGCGGTGCAGGAGGCACAGACTGTGGTCCCTGCTCTCCCTCCAGGCAGGTGGTGCGTATCTCCTTGGTCTGGAAGTCAGCTGAGCCAGTGTACTTGGCCTCACTCTCCTCCTCGTCCTCTGTGGGTTTAAAGATCTGCTGCTGCCCAATGTGGAACATCTCCAGGAGCTGGCTGCCTGAGCGCATGCTGGGTTCTAGGCTGGCCTCGGCCATCCCGCTCCCTGTACTAACCACATTACGACGACTGTACCGGTGGTGCAGCTGCACCAAGGTCCCTATCAAGCACTTGCGGACAGATTTGTTCACAGTAAGAAAGAGAACAGGGTTTGCCAGCAGAGAGACTTTGGGCAGCCAAATGGCCGTGAGGAGCAAGAAGACAGAAGTGTCAGGGACATTGAGCACAGTCTGGTAGATGACCAGTGTGGCATAGGGTACGCTGCATAAGATGAAGACCATCACCATGGACAGCAGGGTGGCGTGCAGCTCGGCCTCCCGCTGGGAGGCATAGGGAATAGAGATGGTATTCTGAGGGGTCCGGAGCGCTGCTATGATGACCTTCTTCTTCTGGCTGGCACTCAGGGCCCGTCGGATCAGTATCAAGAAGAGGAACACCACAGCCACAGGCACAATGACCGTGGTGATGTTATAGACCAGAACGTACACCAGGTGGCCCAAGGAGTTGCTCCAGACCTCTGTGCAGGTGGACATGGCATAGATGTCAGCCACGTTGGTCACTGCAAACACAGGGATGCTGGCGACCACTGCATGGGCCCAGATGTACATCACCAGTTCACGGGACTTGGCATCAGATATTTTTCTCTCGAGTGGATAGAGGACTGAGTAGTACCTGCAAGATACACAAACAAAATTAATTTCATAGAAGATACTCTTTAAATTAGGGGAACCTATATTACTAAAAGTAGGTGAGAGGGGAAAGGAGATCAAGTTCTTTTATCTGGCCTAACGCAGAGAACCACTGGGAGAAGCCAGGAAGTCAGACCTCAAGTGTGGAGGACTTCGCAGTACAGTGAGAAACATCACTGGACCAAAAAAAAAAATTCCAAAGGAGTACAGAAAAGCCCTGTCTTCATGAGCCTCTCAAGACTCTTTTCTATCAGGAAAAAGGAAATAATTTCAATTTATAGGTAGCTTTATAATGATTGCCACCAGGATGAAATCTCAAAGAGTGCCCTCAATGTAAAGGATGTTTCCATCTGCTACAAAGACATGTACTTTCCAGTTTATAGGGAAAGGAGAATTTGAAAGAATTTTACATGGATTAGAGAAGCTTTAAAGCAACTTTCAAAGCTACCAACAGAAAGAAATTTATCTATACACATAACCAAAGCAGACTCATGCTTTGGCTGATTAGCATTTAAAGCTGCTTAGGGCAGAAAAACCCAGTGTGAAGGATGGACTCTGACAAGATCCTGCCACAAAATCAATTCAGCTGAAAGTTATGCCTATTCAGTAGCCACTGTTCCCATAATAAGCATTCAGTAACCCTAAGAGTAATTAATAGGTCTAAAATGGCAGCCCAATTAAATTTTTGTTAAAATCAAATGAGACTTTTGTTTCTTTAAAGCTTTAACCTGGTCATTCTGTAACCATCTAAACAATTTCCAAAGCATTTTGTTTCAATATCACCAATGATGATGATGCCACAAGGACGAAATCTCAAAGAGTACCCTCAACATAAAGGACCTGAGTAATTCCCCCAGGAACTGAGTAATTCTTCAGACCCTAGAACCACGTGTATTGTGAAAGGGCTGCCATACCAGAGATATAGTTGAGATTCTTTGCATTAGCTTGGCCACATCTCTACAGTCGGCTAATATGAGGTCGACCTTACAGCCTCAGTGACATCCATTCACTCACAGGGCCAGAGAAGCATGCAAGTCTTCTGGTAGCAGGTACTTCTGAGCACCACCTATGTGTCAGGTCCTGAGCCAGGCACCAGGTTACAAAGATGAAAAGATACACAGGAATATCTGTGAACTCAGTGGGACAAGACACGCACACTGATAAGCATGGAGAGGATGGTTCTACTGGAGACAGGCACAAAGGAGATAGAGGACCTGGCGCACCTAAAGCTACCTGGGAATATATCCAAAAGAAGGAGGCACTGTGGTGGAGTCTGCAGGGGGACAAACTTGGGGAGAAAGTTCCAAGCCGAGAGAGGTGGGATGCAAACACAAAAGTGACCACGGATGATCGGGGAAGGGTGGAGCGTGGTGAAATGTGTTCTAGATTTCTTTCTGAGAGGAGAATAAAAGAGAAAGAAGTGCATACGTGATGCAAACTCTCAAAAATTTTTCTCTGAATATAGATAAACTTTTCCAATCACAACCCTGCAAATATGTGATGGCCCCACCACATACATGAATACATGCCTTGGAGTCCACTGGCTCTGATGGCCATCTGCTCACTGACATGTGACAAACCCAGCCTTCCACTAATTTCCAATCCCATTCTGTACTGGAAAATAGACTGCAACACAAGCACACAGGCTTATCATAAACAATTTTCTTAGTGTGTACATCCTAGGAGATGAGGCAAGAGATGTAGGTGGCCTCCCAATTAACTTGCTGACTTGGTGCCACGAAACAAATAGCTGTGAAAGAAGTGAGAAAAAGGACTGTCTTCTCTTCTTCATGTGTGCCATACTGATGCTTCACATAATCTGCATCTCTGAACAATAAAATTGGAATTGACCAGTCTTGTTTTTCCAGTAAAAGGACCTGTGTTATCTTTTTAATGATAGTAGAATTACAATAGCTTTTCTGCTGAAAATAATAAGGATTTCTTATTGTTTTCATATTTCCCGGTCTAAGACTGAGGGTCCAGAAATAACCCACAGGGATTACTGCATTGCTTTCAGGTATAGTAGTAAACTGTTCAGAATGGTGTGTTCTTCCTCTTGTTGAATCCTATTTTTTAAAAAATTTCAGGAGTCATAGCAGCATTATTCACAATAGCCAAAAAGTAGAAACAACCTAAATGTCCATCAATTAGTAAACTGAGAAACAAAATGTGATTGATATACCCCTACAATGGGATGAATATACTATTTGGCCATAAAAAGGAATGAAGTACTAATACATGCTATGACATGGATGAACCTTGAAAACACTCTAAGTGAAAGAAGCTAGGCACAAAAGAATACATATTTTATCATTCTGCTTGTGCAAAATGTCCAGAAAAAGCAACAAACATATACAGACAGAACATAGATTCACAGTTGCCTAGGACTGGGGATGGGAAATGAGAAGGGGGAGTGACTGTAAGTAAATGGCACCAGGTTTCTTTGTAGTGTGATGGAAATGTTCTAGAACTAGATGGCAGTGCTGGCTGTACAACTCTATAAACATACTAAAATCCATTGACTTGCACACTTTGAATTGATGAATTGTATGCTATGTAAATTATATCCCTAAACTAATTTTTAAAACTTTCAGAAGGCTCCAGGATGTATGACTGAAGCCTTAAGACTTCACCAGAGCAGGTACTGAAAGGGGCATTCAGAGAGATACTTGCCATAAACACAAAAGGGTTCAACACAAAATGCATGAGGGCACCCACCGGGATGCAAAGTTGAGGAAAAGACTCTGACTTTTCATTCTTATATTCCCGTCCTATGCAATGGTACTTTCCAGATATTCAAAGAGCTCTCTTTTTGAGCGACAGAAGAGCCATGCAAATCACTGCAAAGTGGGCATGGTGAATTGGCATCTCAGGGCATACATTTATATTGCTGAAGGGATTCGAATGGCCCACATTATTTTTTAAATGAAAATGAAGTGAAAACATTTAAAAATGATAGAATTCTGGATTTTTATTCCTCTCCTAAAAGAATAAAAAGTCCTGTTCACTGAGTCTAGATACCTGCAAAGCAATTATTAACTGTAATTGCTGAGTGGCTGACCCCTGTGAATGGGAATGCATTCACACTCTTCACGTGCTACAGTCTCAACCTGGCCCAGTGTCATCTGACTTTGTCACCTGCCATCTCTGCTGTGGATGTGGGTTCCAAGCCTGAGAAGCTGAAGAGATTCCACAGATCTCTTAGGTCATTAGGGTATTCAGTGTGATTTTTAATGACAAAGAGTTCTAAAGTTTCAAATTCCTCTGAGGTGTAGTTAAATTTCAACATAGGGTTTAAAGTCAGAATAGCCAGCACTCTCCCTTCAGTAACTTTTCCTCTCTGCGTGTCTAGGTTTTATTTTTTTATTTTTTATTATAAAGATGTGGGGTACAATTCAGGATCAGACAGATAAGTGGTCACTGCACAGGTAAAGTTTGGGCTTCCCTTTGGTCCCCACTTCTCCTGGTTTGAGATCAGGTACCTTTAATTGATGTTGTGTGCCTGCCCTCTCCCCTGGCAGTGTCCCACTATTGTCAATCCCTCTCTTATAGTATTATGAGTAATGTTCAGGGTTCACTTATGAGTGAGAACATGTGGTACTCATTAATCTTGAAATCAAAAGTACTCACAGGTGCAAAATAATTTTCTATTCTTGTTTGCTTACTTAATTCTATTCTCTAGAAAGTACTATCTAAACTGTATTCATAAAGTGCTAGCAACAAAGGGAAAAGGCAGGAAGCTGTTGATTACTGATATCTTTATACTTAACTTTGCAACATTTGATCAAATTACGTATGATGGCAGTAACTAAGATATAAGATGTACTTCCAAATGAACATCCTTTTAAGAAGATAACAGCCACCAACACAATCTGAAGCCTTGAAAATAAATCCTCCTGAGGAATTCTGGTATACTGGCCACATCCAATTTGACCACTCAATCATTTGTTAAATAACCACTGAATCATTCCCTTCTTCCTGCATCAAAAGCCCTCATTGCAGAGTTATCAATCAGATGAGCAATCAGATGAGCAGACTGCAAATTACAATTCAAGTAGCACCAATTCCACCCAAGCTGAAGTGACACCATGATCCAGTAGCTCCGCCCCAGCACCCTCATGATGTACCTCCCACCCACAGGTCTTTTCTCTATGGTTCTGTATCTCATAGCTGCTGTTAAATCAAACTGCCCTTTGTAAGGCATCTGTTTTGGGCATTTATTCTCTTTCTGCTGATCACCAGCACACTAAAAAGCAGTGTTCGAAGCACTGACTAGTCATCATTTGCTTCATGATGCTAATTTTTCTTTTTTTTTTTTTTTTTTTGAGTTGGAGTCTCACTTGGTCACCCAGACTGGAGTGCAGTGGCCACTCCTGGCCACTGCAGCCTTGACCTGCTGGTCTCCGGCGATCCTTCCTCCTCAGCCTTCCGAGTAGCCGGAATTACAGGCATGCGCTACCACGCCTGGCTGATTTTTTGATTTATTGTACAGATGAGGTCTCGCTGCCCAGGCAGGTCTCAAACTCGCGGGTTCAGGCACTAATTTTTCTTTTTTAAAAAAATTCTTTATTTGTTGATGAGTGTGCCCCCTGCCCCTTGCAGTTTCCACTACTGCGAATCTCTTTCTTACAGTATTACGATAGTTGTTCAAGGTCCACTTATATGAGTGAGAATGTGTGATAGTCGGCTCTTTGTTTTTGTGATAGAAAACTCAGTTAATTTTTCAATACACTTAAAAAAAAAAGTTGAACCCCTGGCTACCTGATCTTACCTGTCCAGAGCAATGGCAGGGAAGCTGAGGATAGTCACAGAGCAGAAGACTTTGTGCAAAAATTTGACGACCTTGCAGAAGAGCATGGTGTAGATCCACCAGCAACAGTGAGGACTGGTGCTGAGGATGATGTCGAAGGGCACGCAGACCAAGCTGGCACAAATCCCCGAACAGGCCAGGTTTTTAATGAACCTGTTGGTGACAGATTTGAACACGGTTGTGCGGCAAGTTGACCATAACACCATGAAGTTTCCTGACCAGATAGGGAAAAAAATTTTTAATTAAAAAAAAGACAAAAAAAAGGGAAAGAAAATTACAGGTTAAAAAATTTTTAACCACATATGAGAATTGATTTCAAATGATTTAATTTAAATACATATTATATTGTTAATTCACTTGACTATATTAAATCACTTACACACATTTTAAAAGTCTAGAAGAAATTTTAGTGGTGTGTTTCATTATTTAATTTAAAGTAAAACAGTACTATTATTATGATGGTTCAGTCTCATTGGTGTATAAACCATTTACTAGCTATTACCTTATCTCAGGCAGTCTACTCTTATAAGGTTTGCTAATGACCTCCATGTTGCCAAACTCTGCATTACAAATGCAATGCAAGCCACACACATAATTTTAAACTTTTTGGTAGCCGTGTGTGTGTTGTGTGTGTGTGTGTGTGTGTGTGTGTGTGTGTGTGTACACACACATACTTTTTAAAATTTAATCTTTTATTTTAAGAGACAGGTCTTTCTAATTTGCCAGACTGGTCTCAAACTCCTGGCCTCAAGCAATCTTTCTGCCTTGTCCTCCCAAAGTGCTAGGATTCCAGGCATGAGCCACTGTGCCTAGCCTCTGGTAGCCAGATCTTAAAAAAGAAAAGAGAAGCAGGTGAAATTTCAATAATATATTTGCTTAACCCATAAATCCCAAATATTTCAGCATGTAATCATTACTTTAATTTTTTTTTTCTTAAGTCAGAGTTCTCACTCTGTTGCCCAGGCTGGAGTACAGTGGCATGATCACAGCTCACTACACCCTCAAACTCCTGGGTTCAAGTGATCATCTCTCTTCAGCCTCCCAGGTAGCTGAGACTACAGGCACACACCACTATGCCCAGCCAATTCTTTTTTATTTTTTTGTAAAGTTGAGGTCTCACTATGTTGCCCAGGTTGGTCTTGAACTTGTAGGCTCAAGCAATCCTCCTGCCTTGGCCTCCCAAAGTACTGGGATTACAGGCATGAGCCACTACAACTGGCCCTTAAAAATTATTAATGAAATATTTTTCATTCTTATTTTTGTCCTTAGTCTGCAAAATCCAGTGTGCATTTTATTTCACATTTTTAGCACATCTCAGTTTGTACTAGCCACCTTTCAAGTGCTCAATAGCCGTATGCAGCTAGTGACTACCATACCTGACCGCACTGTTCTAGAGATTTTGGCAGCAATGATGTAATCAACCATCTCCACAATCTCCTGGTTTTTCTCCTACCCTTGCACCTCCACCAACCCCTGGCTACTTCAAGTCTTCTCTAACTAGGCCTTCCTCTATTCTTTCCCTGTAGCTGCTCCCTAGGTGAGACTACTCATTCTTGTGGCTTTCCATCAAAATGCTAATGACTACCAAACTTATGTCCTCAAGTAGTCCTCTCCTCTCAACTCCAAACTCTTATTTCCAATTGAACTTGTGATTCCCTACCCCCCCTCAATTCCCACCATGGTCCTCAATGGTTTACATAATCTGGTGCCTACCTGCCTAATCTCATACCTTACTTAGACTGTTTGGCTGGATACCAGACGTTCTGGCCTTTTTTCTGCTCTTGAAACACATTAAGGTTAATCCCACCTCAGTGCCTTTGTACAGGTTTTTTAATACTGCTTAGGATGTTCCTCATATGTCTGGTTCCTTTTAATCCAGGTCTTAGTTTAAATATTGCCTCCTCAAAAAGACCTTCTCTAGCCATCTTTTTATTGTAAATATTCAGTTATCTTCCCTCCACCACACCCTATTATAGTATCCTATCATGTCCTTCATAGTTTTTTTTGTAATTATCAATTTGTTCACTTCTTTCTCCATCTCTCCATTTCATGAAGAAAAACCAGGTCTATCTTGTTCACCATTATAACTCTATGACTAGCTCAGTCTCTGATACAAAATAGGCATTTGATAAATATTTGTTGAGCAAATTAATTTATAAAATAAGCAAAGAAACAGTAACTAAAAGTCTCTGTAGTAAGAGAATCCCTTTTGTACTCTGTATGTCATATATGGATATTCTAAGTCAGTAGTTCCCAGACCTCACTTTATACCTAAATGACTATACCAGACATATTGAATCACAGTTTGTAGGTATGAAATTGGCATCCTGCATCTGTAACAAGTTGTCTCCCTGGCTAAAGTTTCTTTTAGACCACTTTCAGGCACGGAGTCCATCTTCAGATATGCAGGGCAGCCTATTCTACTGGTGGACTTTACCTGGTGAGAGTCAGGTCCATTTGTCAATTGGTCATGACCCAAGAACACTGCTACTTCCTATGCACACAACTCAGAGAATACCTTCTAATGAACTAAGCTGATGCTGAGCCACACTCCAAAGAGTCGTGGGGCAGGGCAAGAAGAGAGCAAAGCTCAGGGCTGCAGCCCAGGGCACCACAAGGAGCTACCTCAGAACCTCAAATGTGGATGTAACTTACTGTCAGCTGTCAAGAGTCAATCTCTCTCTCTCTCTTTCTCTCTCTTTCTCTCTCTTTCGATTGGGGTCTCACTCTAGCCCAGGATGGAGTACATGGTACACCTCAACATTCTGAGTTAAGATGATCCTTCTGCCTCAGCCTCCCAAAGTGCTGAGATGACAGGCACGCTGCGCCCGGCCAGGAGTCACTCTTGAAACGCAGTATTCTACAGCTACCTGTCATCTACCAGACAAGGTAGAAGAAAAAGCCACTGTGTTTAGGGATATGTTGGCCAGCTGCTTCCAGGAAATTCTCTGACAAACTTTCTTTATGTTAGTATGCTGACTCGGTGAGTTAAAACCAGCAGTGTGTACACATACAAACATTTATTCTTTGTAAGAGGTGTTTCCACTGATACCACCTCAGACCGCTTCAAGCTTTCCTGTCACCAAGGTGATAAGTTAAACAATAATGGTATATTTGAAGCTCCATCGATTCAAGCTTTCTTTTTATTTTTTTTCTGGCCTTCTTTCTACTGAAGCATGGATTCCAGCGTGGCTGAAGCACCTTTCCTCACTTAAGTTTCACAGACAGGACTTAAAATCTGATAACATCTAATAATGAAGTAGCCCACTTAAGGAAATCTGCATGAAGAGAGTGCACATGTCACAGTCTCTTCAGTTATCGAAATCTTGGTATCTCCAGTCCACTGAGTTAAATATACCCATAAATATACCCTTCCTTGTTATAAGTCAAGACCCTCAGGATTTTCTTTTCCTCTGATCATTGTTAATCTTTGTAGTTTGGTACGTTATGTTGAATAAAACATCTTGAGTAACAGAACTAACAGGAAAATTCATTGCAAAGGTCAGGGGTCTCTCATCCACACAGCAGATTCTTTTGAAACTTAACTGAAACTAATTTCCATCATTACTCTCATACTCTACTTTCCCATCCATCCCTCTCCCTCCCAATTACATCAGGCATGCTTTTTTATTGTTATTTTTGTTTTGTTTTTATTTGCCCAGACTTAGTTTTGTTGAATCCTACTTTAGAAGTACATGGGTTTTTTCTCTTTATTTTATTATTGAGATGTGGGGTACAAGTCAGAATCAGGTCTATCGGGAGAAGTTGGGGCCTCCAACTGGTCCTCACTTCCCTTGGTTTAGGCTCAGGTACCCTTCGTGATGCCACGTGCCCTCCCTTCTCCCTCTCTCCCCCGAGGTCAAGGTATTCTGGCTGTACTATATAGTACCAGATCTACCATTTCAGGAACCACATTGGCAATACAATCAACATTTTTATTAGTTTACCCACACTCATGAATGAGCAAGGTTGTTTCTTCGACGAGTTATTATTTAAAAACCTGAAACTGTTATAATCACATTTTATCCCCATCTATTTATAAGACTCTAGGTAGCATCTGGAGCCTAATCTATTTTACTCTTAAGAATCCGAGGCTAAAGAAGTCTATGTCCCCTCCATTCTCTAAACTACTGCTCTCTCTCCTTATTTGAAACTGACTCATCTGGCCCTAAGAACCTGAATTGGACCAAAATATCAGAAGTGGAGTACCCACACTCAATACCTGATTGGCTGTAGATTTTAAAATAAATGTTTGTGTGTTATATAGATACACTTATAAAAATGTAAGTATTCAACCTCTATATACTTTTTACTTTAGAGGTCATATTCTAAGTGACCGTATCTCCCTTGGAAATGATCCAGGCTCTGTACCCATTCTTCCTCTCTATGTATTCCTGTTATATTTTCTAATGCTGAAGCCCATGACAATACTCAATGCCAGAGTTGTGGACACAGCAACACAATGAGAACAAACTCACAACACATACAATCAAAAGGACTAAAGAGGGAGACTGACAGCTTTGGTACAAATCTACCCTCCATGGGACTGCTGTAACTTTGCCATTCCTTCGAAGGATGGCCACGAGACAAGGCAAGCAAAAATGCAAATAAAGATTTATCCTTCTGCAGTATACTTGATAGTCCCAGAGAACTAATGTGGAAGACAGAAACATGTGAATTAATGACAACTCATAGTGCCTGACTGATAATGAGGAACACCCCAGTCCCTTTTTTTTTTTTTCAACTAAATTTTGCCTCTACGAAATGTTGGCTCTGGCTGTCCTTTTTAACTGGTTTATAGGCTGTGCATCTTTGAAAGCAACCATTCTGGAGTGTTAAAGAGACTAGTAACTAAATTTAAAAAGACATTCCAGAAGAGCATTGGGAAACAGTGTGCCTTTGAGATTCCTCTTGGGGAAACAGTCCCATTACTCTATAAAAATTACCAGTTTCCCTAGGGATATAAAGCAGTAAAAAGATCCATGCCCATGCTTTAGAAGAAAGATAACATTCCACTCAGAACATTCTAAAAACTGAAACTTAAAAAGCTAAAGCAAACAGTGTCTCACTCTGACACCCAGGCTGGAGTATAGTGGGATGATCACAATGACCATGGCTCATGGCAGCCTCAACCACCTGGGCTCAGGCGATTCTTCCACCTCGACATCCTGAGTAGCAGGGATTACAGGCACACCCAAAAAATTTTTTTATTTTTTGTAGAGTCAAGGTTTCGTTATGTTGCCCAGGCTGGTATTGAACTCCTGGGCTCAAGCAATTCCCCTGCCTCAGCCTCCCAAAGTGCTGAGCCTACAGGCATGAGCCACCACACCTGGCAGGTGGAGGTGATATTAAATTACAAGGAAAAGCATAGGAAGACAAACTGTGCTACGGGGGCCAAAGCGAAGCAACAAGGATCAGGAAAACTACAAGAAACTTCCCACTCAACAAATACCATGTGATGCAAGAAGAAAGTCTAAGCAAGTTAAGTAATATTAAGCCCCAAACAGAAGCAAAGAACAGACAACTACTTTGTGTAGGATGGATTTTTAAATATCTTCTT